GGAGCAGGGGCACAGTTATTGAGCGGTTTGTGCTGTTAACTCCAATGTCACTGCTGAGCTCCTGGAAAAGCGTGGTGCTTGTAAACTGTTCATAGAGACAGCTCCTTTGGGATTTTTCAATTCTCACTGACATCACTGACAAGACTCTAAAACATGCAAGATTAAAAAAAAACTTTCAGAATTTTTTATTTTTAATTAATTTTTAATTTTAATTTTTAATTTTTTATTATCTGTTTCAAAGCCTGACTAGGACTTCACAGCAAACGTCAACCTCTGAGTGTACACCAACAGCAGATTATAGCAGGATCAACACGGCAGCCTCTCAAAGAGCGAAATGTGAGGTTTCCACCATCCTGTTCTTCACTGCTTTGGATGTAAGCATCTCTCAGAAAGGAAATGATTAAGGTTCAATTCCAGCAGTTGGTGATTAATTTCTAGGGACAGTGGCTGTTGCCACTTTCTCTCAGGAGTCTTTTGCGTTTCTGGCTATTTCACTCCAGCTCTGCCTTCCTTCCAGGGAATCAGTGACGTTAAATATCTGGTGTTTGAAAAGGAATAGACTGGGTACCCTTGTCTTATTGCCCCCACGGAGAAGGCCGTCTATTTCTTGCCATTACAGTAAGTCTAACTTTTAAAAAGCCGTGTCAGAATGATTCACTGCTTTTTGTTTGTCCTCCATGAATAAAGGTGTCTGGGCCTTTCTGCAGTGGCTATGATTCCTTTCTCTTTGGTGTAAATTATATATTGACATTTTCTTGTGGTGCAAACTGGTTGGAGCTGTAAGATGGAAAAGCAGAGGCATGTGATGATGTGTCTGGATTTTTTCTGCAGATCTGTTAAGCTGCAGCCTGCAAGACTGGAGAAGAGAACATTTTGAATTAGTGAACAGGATGAACCTCGAGGACCTTAATTCCATGTGCAGGGAAAAGGGGAATATCAGTGCCATATTTTCCCCATAGTGCACAATTTCTCTTAGGCTTTGATCCTTTATAAGAAGAGCTAACACTGAGGCCATCTGATGTCAATTTCTTGTGACTTCATTGGGAACCTGCAACTCTAAACTTGCAGAACCCTGGAAACCACTGAGACCCAGAAACTGAATTGGTGAATTTACAAGGCCCTCACAAAACTTTTAACAATCCTTTCACAATTTGTTTCGTTTTGGAAATAGTGCATGGCATAACTAGTAGGTGTTTTTCTTATAACTACTAAAAGATTACAAAAATATAGATGCACACGACTTGCCACATGGCAGGGCCAGGAGGCAAAACAAACAATTCTTCTTAATATTTCATTCGTTTTCTGTCGGAAGCCGAGAACTGGCTGATTTTCCATTGAGGTGGGTTTCTTAGAACAGAACTGAAAAACAGGCTGCACATCAGTTGAACACAGTGGGACCCCCAAAATTGAGAAATGACCCTCCAATGGAGGTTTGGGGCTCTGGCACCTTATGTTAGCTTGTGGGGTTTTGTTCGTCACGATCTTTCTTGCAGTATTCGGTAGTCAAATTAATACATTTTGAACCATTGAATAGTTTACAATTAAATTATAGTACAAAGTACAAAATTATATATATAAAGATTTTTTTTAAATAAGAAAATGTTAATGTTCTTTATCTTCCGCTCAAAGTTTCCAACAAGCCGTATATGGAGCTCATCGGTCAGAGCGAAGATTTTATCGGTTTCCCGTCACTCATCAGCTCGTCATTTCTTGAATCCTATCCCACATCTGTGTAGCTGAAGGTTGTTGCAGTTCTCTCTGGAATTGGACAATACCCCAGAACTGACGCATGCACCACGCGTTAAGCGTGATATACTTGCTAAACAAAACAAAAGTTGCAGATCAGCCTTGAGATTTATTTTTTGCAAGTCAAAGACCTTGAAGACGTTTCCCTGGATAAACAACTCCCGTGATAATAGCGGGGGACGAGCGACATCTGCTGGACAGACTGCAGACAGCAAGTGGGAGCGACAGCTGGGGGTCAGCGCTGTGTGAGCGCTTGATGTGTTCAGGCCTACGAATGTCAACACATTTCTGCTCACAGGACAGACTGGGCACGCTGGGCAAACCTTGTTCAGGGGTCTAATATGAATGCACCTGTTCACTTTTCTACAGAAGAGTATCTACATTTTAATTACAAAACAGAGCTATTAAAAAACGGATGTGTTAGGCCTGAGACCTGTCATTAAAAAAAAATCAATGTATTAAAAGCAGTTAAAGAGGAACATTTCATACACAAAAAATATATATAAAAGAAATAAACAATAATAACAATGTGAGATAAATAGTAACTCAACATTCCTGTTCTTGTAGCCGTAAAACGAAACGCTTCCTTGCAAATTCAGTTTAAACGTTTTCCCGTATTAAGTTGGTTCGCTTTGAAGTCCTTTCGCATTCCGGGATCTTGTGACTCCCGAGTAAATCGTGGACATTGCGACGGCGCTAAAACGAAAAAAAAAAAAATGTTTCTGACCCCATCCATCCCTTTTCCTGAGCTGATTTCCTGTGGGAGTCGCATTAAAATAGCCTGGGAAAGTTTTTTCCCTTTGCTTTCCTGATACGTTAGCTCCATTGGTCGGACGTGACTTTAAAGAACCTCGACAGATGTCGGAAAGACACAGCGCTGTGTAAAAACTCGGAATAAACAGTTATTGATTAACGTCCTTGGTAACTGGCGAAGTTGATAATAAAAGGCAGGTAAGCTATCGGTGTTCCTTCTCTTTTTTTATGCCAACAGCGTTTTTCTCGATGTTTTAAAGTCACATAATCTCGACTTCAGTATAGTAGAGCGGATTTCACATCAAAGCTGATAGAACTGAAGCTCATAGACTGCTAAAACTAGAATAAGGAACGCCAGAGGATGTATTAAAACTGAAAAAAAAAACGTTTCCCTCTGGCCATATAATAAGAGTTGAGCAGACAGACTGGGGGACACGTTTATTTTCTGTCTATAAACTAGTTGAAGTTAGAACCTTTTCAATATCAATGGGCGTAATAAGTATAACTATGTTTGTTTCTCAGCGAAAGATCTACATTTTTAAGTTTGGATGAAACTTAACTTCCTGAAGGAATCGTTAGTATAGGATTGCAGTGGATCCAATGTTATTGCGACGGCCCATCGCAGTTCTTACCTTTAACCTTTTACCTTACTTGTCTCGAAGTAGTGCACTTGAAACAAAAGGACTGAGGACATTCCAGAATGAAACAACAGCCTCAATGTAACATATTACAGATTACAGTCCATGTCCTATAATACATTTTTATAATAGAACGAATAAATGTTTTTTAACTGGGGACAGTAATTCCTAATGGAGCTCAAGTCTCTGGAACAGGTGCATAGACAATGGCCATTTGAGTGATAATAATAATAATAATAATAATAATAATAATAATAATAATAATAATAATAATAATAATACGGTAAACATTAGTAAGAGATAGTTGTCAGTTTATTTGATTCCAGTCTTAACCCGGTGGTTCAGCGGCTGTTATAATCGGCTTGAGCTTTTCTTGAGAGGCGGCCCTTCGGAAAATATTCGCGAAACAAAACATTCCGCTCGAGCTGTTGTTGCTGCAATAATTCGTCTTTGCCAAATTAGGCAACTGGGCAACTTGCCAGTTTAACCAGCTTTTTTTAAATTAACCCTTTAAACGCCCTGTTGTTGTTCTTAAGGGATTGGTTTGATTGCCCGATAGCAAAGCGAAATAAAGTTATTTGGCTTTATATAACTTACTTTCTACTTGTATTATTTGTTGCGATGTCCCGAATAAGTTTCAGAGTACACCCTGTCTTCTCTGTCGTTTCTGAAAGCGGCGGGTGGTCTTTAGCAGTCGTGTTAGTAGCAGCAGCATCACACGGAGATATTTGCGGTAGCAGCCTGTCACAGGTATGGTCTCTTTCTTTGTTTCATGTAGGCGACTTCAGAAGCGTCTTGCGATCGTTTCGATTACAGCAGGGGTTGGGTGAATGGACGGCGGTGATCAGGGACTAAAGTTTCTGTTTCCCCAAATTTTGTTCCGCCCAAATTTACGAAACTAAAACTGGTTTGGATATGAACA